ATCTGTTGGACGTATGCCCAACAGGCAAGCATAAGTCCTTCAGCAGTCAGACTTACTCCAAATCAGAAAAGATAATCCCTTCCCGAATTGACGGTGCCTTGTGGGATGGATGAGAACAGGGCTTTTAAACAAAATAATAAAAAAAGTGGCTGCTGAATGTGGCAGTCTTTTTTTACAAAGCCAATGAATTTTACACTCAGGGGTCGTTGTCACTACGTCCACGTACGACTGGTTAGATAACAACCCATCTTCTCACCAATTAGTATTGTCCTTCTCGTAATTTACATCTGATATCTTGCTCGTGACTCTCAAATCTCACCACGGACGGTCAAGTGTGTGCATGGAGCAGCTTATTACAATGACGAAATGCTCAATAAATTTTGACACTTTCAAATAACCAGTGGACGAAGACGTCGAAATCTTGAAAACGATGCTAAGAAGATAATTTCGACATAAAAGACTGAACAGTTACTCGGCTTGATATAATGAATGCCAGCCAGCTTATTTGCCTACCCAACAAAAACATTTTGGGACAATTGACACGGGTAACAAAAGGCTCAGAGGAGAAGCAACAGTGGTGCAGCGTCGTCTAAGTAGTTGGATTCATTAGACATGCTTAAAATGATGTGATGACTTGGCCAACCAGTGGCAACTCGGTGACAATGCAGCATCACTTTACAACTACGCTATCCATTTATTATTAGCACCTTGTTAGTCAACCATTACCACTTCTTTCTCGGAGCTCCCTCAGTTACTACGATTTTCATCCCATGTCAAGAATTTTGATGACAAATGAAATTGTAGAACCCTTTTATTTCAATTCTCAAAACCCATGGAAGCAACAACAACGGGACAATTTTATCACAATTCACATCCCCACATTACTACTACTACGATTCTATTTGTATTGTGCTCCTCTGCTCTGCTACGGAAGAGCAGATGGGATGACTTTGTACTTCCAAAAACATAATCAACTTTTCTCACTTAACCAACCGTGTTTAACAAGACACAACTAATTTAATTTCATCATTTTTATCCCGAGCAGAATAAGCACAATGGGAATAACCTCTACGCAAATGGAATAAAGAGGACTTTGCTTATCATGCCGGGAATACATTTGTAGTCGTGGTGGTGATGTATTGTCATTGTGAGATTCTATCTGTCCATATCTCACTCACTCACGTATGTTATGAGAACCTGATTTTTAATCAAATCCATAAAAACTAGGAGAATTGTTTGCTGTGTTTTAACCGTGTTCCAATTATTCCCATTTGCATTCAGTGTCTATGTAAATGCATAGGTTTTCTTCCATCATGTCGTCTCGTCGTGGATACATGCGTCCTCTCTTAAGCCCAATAACGTATGCATGCCCAAACTATTATTAATCGTATTAAAATTCGAGCAGAGGAATGCCTGTTGTGGTGTGGATGTCTTTTTTGGTTCTTGTGCATTATCCGACGAGAATATCCTAGATGATGGAGAATGGATCGCTTTGGTTTCGTCGTCCTGCTTGGTAACATCGCATGGTTCAGTTAAGTAGCAGTGGCAGTAGTACTGGTTCACTGGCTGGCGTATTATTATTGTTGGGAGCGCAGAAGACATCAAGCACACCGAATGATTAATGACTTGCAACATTACCAAATTCTATTGACAAACATTTTACTTGGTTGCACCCATCATTCCTCCTTCTTTCCTTCCTTCTTCCTACTAGCAGACTTCCTCCATGACGTGTTTTAGCTCTCCAAGCATCACTGACTCGACACAATTGTGCGGGACAAAAATCCCAGAACTCAATCTCCATCATCCATAATAATTCTCATCTCTCTCTCACTTAAGCAAAATTCAGTAAGGTTCAGCCTCAAAAATAAGAATAGTGCGTTAATGCAAAATACAAAAAAGTTGGCCCGTTTAAAGGGCGCAAAATACATACATGGCCTTAATTCACTACAACCCCCATGCTTTTGCACTAAGATCCTAAAGATTATTGTGCCAGACAACGCTTTAGTTTTATGCAGAGAGTGATGAATACACATAATTGCTAATTACTCAATCATCTTAAATTCTGGAGATCAACTCCTTTTAAAAGTTGGTGTTGCGGAGGACATTATGTATTCCATGAAATTGTTGAGATATATCAATCTTTCTGAACTGGGAATTATTCGTCCGTTCTCCAGATTGATGAGTTTCTGAACTTTTTGTTTGTTTGTTTGTCTCCTCTTCTGCTCTAGAAGGAGTGGTATAATATGGGACACAAGACGATTCAAAATTCAATGCAACTCACAACCTCGCATTCACAATATTCCATGTACACGCTAGGGAAATGAGCTGCCGAGTTCGTGTCAATCTGATGCCCTAATCTCCTCGAAACTCCTTTCAATTTCCTCATTCTCACCGATCACATCTTCGTTTGGGAACGTTAGCTCATCACCAGAGCGTTGTCGTGGTGGAAACTTTGTGAAAGAAACACTTTGGTTATACGTATTCGAGCAGTTGAATCTGTCGAGTGATGATGAGGGTTGCTTCCAAAACTCACTTTTATACATTAGTGGTTGACAATCAGTTCCAACTGGCAGGCTAAATCCCACCTCGTCGTTGGATGCATTTCATTTCATCACATCGATTATCCACGTTGACATCACAATCTTTTCCTCCGTCGTTGTCAAGATTTGTAATAAATGTGATCCATGTGCTACACAATCGCTATCACAATGTTTTATTAGTGTAATACGGAAGGAAGACGGCATTGTTCAGCGTCTTGTTTAGAGAGTGAGCAAGGTGGCTCATGCGACACCACCACCTGAGCCACCACGCACATTAGAATAATTTATGGTCGTGATGACGAGGAGTAGCCAACTTTAGTACCGTCCTCCCACATAATTGCTCCAAATAATCGCCACATGACAATAAGCACGTCGTGTTTTACGGGGATCTTAACGGAGTCAAATGAACCATAGGAATTTATGTTATGTTGCCAAAATTCGGTTTAATAGGACATTTACATTTCTCCGCGAAAACGAGACAACGAAGTCGAAGGTGGAAATGGGAGAGAAATAATAAAAGTGATAAATGAGAGAAATTCTCACTATGCGTTAGCAGTTAAAGTTTAAATGTTGGGTAACTTACTTACTTGGAGTCACGTTTATTTTTTCGAGAGTAGTTGTTTCTTTCCCTCTCTTTCTCTCTCTCTCTCGCTCTCTCTCACCTAATTGGCATGAAGTATTAAATTATTCTCTAATGAGAAGGGGAGTCAAATGGAATGTGTAAAAGGACCAATGACACTTGAAAATATTCCCCGAATCTCCACCACCTCCTGCACCGCTGTGTTCCTTATAGTTCTTCTTCTCGTACTAATTGTCCCGGGACGCGTGCTGTGCCCTTTAATGTGTTTTGTCTAGGATTTTTACCTTTCATGCATACTGAAGGACTTTAGCAATACGTCAGAAGAAGCTGCATTAAAGAATCGTTCGAGTCATAAATGGAATAAATTATTGCATATGCTTTATGTCTGCTACAACAAAGTGCACAGGTTGCGAAACACTGTCAATACTTAAAATAAGCTGTACCCTCTTTTCCTCCTCTTTAATCTTACTTAAGACATTAAATATTTGCACACAAACAACAAGTCCTTACACACACACACAGTATGCAATATTGCATTGCATTGTAGACGGAATTCGACCAAATTGATGCTACACAATTTTTAAAACGCATGACATGTGTGTTTGTGCACATGGATGTGAATGGTTCTCATATATTTTTAAGATTCACATCTTTCTTCATTTCTACTTTGAAATATAATTTTTTGTTAATTAACCCTATTTCTACCCTCGTTAGGTTCGTTGGTGAAATAATTAATTATGCAAACTATATGCTTTCCTTTTCCTCCTCCTCCTGCACATCTGAGAAGCGAACCCACTCGCTGGTTCGGTAACTGATTCTCATTTTACTGTAGTTTCTCTCAATCAAGAAGAGAGAGAAATGAGAGAGATCACTTCTTTGACTTGTGTAACGCGTCTGTCTCGTAACTCGGCTGCCTACTCCGACCATTTTACCTTTTGCTTTATTGTGACTCATTTGCTCGCTCACAATTAGCAGTTAAGTTAGTTAGTGCGAGGACGTTTTGTAATGTGAGCCAACAAATAAAATAACAGCGTTCTGGACAACTTTCCACTTAGCTTTCCCCATCCTGCAAAAACAAACTGTAAACTAATAAGTGATGGTCTAAGAGCATGATGCCGTTGATAAAGTTAATTGATAATTTTCCAGGATTCGTTAGTTTTCTAAGTAAAGGAAACAAAATTAGATTTTGTAATTGGTCTCTAAATCTACGTAACGAATCTCGCCCTTGTTCGTTATTCCTCAAGTCTGCCTACCTACCTACACGCATGTATAATCCATCCATGTACCTGTGCACGGCCTAGAAGGTTTTGGAGAAGAAGCGAGCATCAATAAATTACATAAGGCATAAGCGGATTAAAATAAAAGCTATTTAAACAACCTAAAATATTGTGGGAATAAATGGGTAACACAAAATAGCTCGGGTTTCTTGAAAGAACGGTAAATTTGGTAACTTTGAAATGGTTTTCTCTTCAATAAGCAAGCTTCATTAAAATTATGCAGCAAATACATGGGAAACTAAAATAAGAAATTCTAGTAAATAAAATGAGGGTGTATCGTTATAGGTGTGCAATAATCTGGTGGATGATGGTGGTTGGTTGCATTCTCCTTTTACGCCTAATAGCAGAATTACATTACATTATTATTTCTCAAATATATAGCAACTTGAGGTAAATCATTTGATTTTAATTTCAGGGGAGCTCATTATTTATGCGGAACACAAGTGGCTGCATTGACCACCACCAATATCACTCCTTCTCGTGATACACTCTAATGTTGGCTCTTTCTTTGTAATGATTGCCGAGTGGTCCTTAAACCCAGGAAGGAAACCAACATAAACATTGTGGATTGGATCAGGTAGGGGGCTTAAATTTATCCAATTTTGTTTTTACCATGCAGCCGCCCCAAATCTAAAAAACCCTTCCCGAAAAGTTGTCCATTGTCCACACCGCGCGTGGTTCTTGATCAATCACTGGATCGCAAAAACTGTGAGACTTTTCCTAATTAATTAACGATGATGTTTGCTCCAATTCCCTTTATCGCTTTAATTAATGATGCAAAGCATACGAGAATTTGATCTAATTTATTAAGGGTTTGCTCTTGACTTGCCAAGTGTTTGACCATATTTTGATTATTAATTTTAAGATTATTATATTCCCCTCAATAATTGAATTCCCAAAACTCGACCGCAAAAATCTTGCTCATTATCCGGATGAACAAATGACTCTTGAGATGTGTACAACAAAAATTTGTATGTATTAGGTAGTAGAGCTCGAGCTATTAGTTATGATAATTCGAGAGTCCCTTCCTCATTTATTTTGGAGCTGGTTACTCAACTTCCTGCACAATAATGCACAATTCCTCTATTTTCCACCAGAATCCATCATTATTTGTCAAGTTGGTGAAGGAATAAGGAATACAAAGTGGTGAATGGCTCTTAAATCCACAACAGTCAGCCTCACCACGCCACGCAACACCACTTATATTTCATTGGTGGACTCATTCAACAACAATTAATTATTCCCATACTTGACTTTTAATTTTTGTTGGTTTCGAGTAGAATGTTGGAAACGGGATGAGATCAACCTCATTATTATTTATTTATTATGATGAGATTACTCGATTTCAGGATAAAATCAAACTATGCACACGCACACATTCATTTATTCATGATTTCATCAAACTTAAACGTTCTCATAGTTTATCTCAATTAGGAAAAACTTGTGAATAGAAGTAATAACAAAAAAAACCATCGTTTATACCGAGTTCAACTAACGCACTACTTGTCACAAAACGAGAAATATCTATTTAAAAGCATATGTAGCTTTGATAATACTGCATCCATCGATTACAGAATAAAGCTTACGACACAGGTCTTTATTGTGGTTAGCGTTTCTTTTCCACTCGGGGAAAGCATTGGCTGTCTGGCTGCAAAGCAAGAGTTAAAGTGAAACTGGGGGAGAAACCACAAAGGTGCACTTGGAAGAAAATGGATCGGACCCTCGAGATGATCATCAACAAGATATTGACTTCTTCTTTGGCCATCCTTTATTTCGTTTCTCTTCTAAAAGACAAGGAAACGACTGAATTTGACACGACTCAAGAAATGATTATGTTCTTCTTGGAGTAGCAGGATCGGGGAAAGTTGAGAAAATTCTTTGAGCAGAGAAAGAGAGAGATAAAGCATCTCAACTATAAATATTATGCATTATACATGTTGTATCTCTCTCTCTCTCTCTGTCTTGTTTCCAACTATGGCTACCAATCCCAGCCGGGCTAAGAGAGAGAAAGAATCCTCCTTGCGAATAAAATAGAATAAACTTTTGAACTTTCTCGTTTCCTTTCTCCACGACCACCACCACGACGAAGAAATACAGAGCGTAGATCTGTGCAGGACTCTGGTATAACGTTATATTGGCCAATGATGTGATGTGAGCTGATCCCATGTCATAAAGAGAAAACACAGACTGAGAGATGAAACTCAAGGTGCTCACTTTCCCGTAATATTGAAAGATTTATCAACCCTTTGATAGTTTCCATTACGTTTATTGAAAAACATGCTCATACCCATATCACGAAATGTTGTTCTCTTAGTTTTCCCATTTTATGTATTATTTCTTCCTTTTTTCTCATTCCGCATCCAACTCCACCACTTTATGGGATGGGATGACTTGTTCCATATTTCTCCCAGTTTTATTTTTATGGACAACTCCCTCTCACAATAAGTGAGAGTGCATGCTACATACATACATATGTACTCCATATGTATGTAGCTAGGCAGGCGGGAAGAAAGTAGAGAGCAAAAGACCAGAACCAGGTACATACAAATGCCTCTCCTCAAGGAGAGGAACCATGTAATAATGTGTGTGTCTCTGCCACTCTCTGCCCATGCATGCAGTCCCATTTCCCATCATGCACAAAGAACACTGAGCTAAAAGGTGGAAGAATTTGATACTTTTATCAACCAAATTGTCCTTCCATCTGAAAGAAGAATTGTCCATCCCCACAAATTATTTTTCTCTTTCCCAATATCTGACAAAGGTCGTCCGTCCATCCATATCCTTAATTACTACTCGGACATTCATTCATTTTTGATCTGGTCTCGAGCTCACTAACTTGATGGATGCGGAAGTGGTCCATTCAATCAGTGTCGTGCATCCTCCATGCCGCGTCGATTCTTGTAAACGCAATCTGTATTTGTCACATAGGAAATAATAATGCATTCTCCTGCATTCCATGCCTGCCTGTATTCTCCCCACAAAATAAAGTACGACTGGGAGCAAGGTTTTCTGTTACCATTTTTTTAAATTATTCAAATGGTCAGAATCCTCATATTTAAATTCAGGACTCGGAGTAAATAATAATCAGTTCCGCCCACCACTAGAGAAACAATCGTGCTGAAGATTTTGAACAAAACAATGTCATGTCAATGCATAGCTAACGGTAAAAGATCATAAACAGTTGGATGGACTCCTTCTTTTGACTCTGACAAGCATTATTTATCTGATAAATAGAATGAATAAACAAACTAAATTGCTTTATACCCAGAACAAAGCAAATCACCATTGTTCATTCATATTTTGTCTTTTTAACTCTGAAAAGTTCCAAGAAAAGGGAGGAAATGAGACAATTATCATAAAATGAATCTGCATACTGAACAAATACCTTGCATTGTAATAATCCAACCAAGGAAAAAAATACTTACTTCCAAATAATTCATATCCAAGTAAAATGCTTACTTTTTAGACGCATCCATCAATTTTCCACCTCGGAGAAAATCTACATGCTAAGTTGCGCAGGAGTAAAACAACGCTTGGAAAGAAAGACAATGGGTTGGCGTTCACACTCCTTGTTCCATAGAACTTGCTGGGTCGGTTAGTGTGTGGGCGTCGTGTTGTGCTTGGTGGCAGTTGCGCAAGGGAGGCAGGATTCGTACACAATTGTTATTCCGATGACAATGGGATGGCGAGAGACGTGAAGCCTTTGTTCCCACCAGATCCACGCCATGATTGGTTCCTGCGCCCAAATCTCTCCTCCCCCACCAACAACATAGTCTCTGCTGGTAAAATCCCTCTTAAAATCAGATCCACGAGATGAAAAGTGAATAATAGCGGTAAGACACTCGCCTGATAATGGTCTTGGCACCATTGTTGGGGACACAGGTCATGCGAAAATGTACTAATGTGTGAAAATCCATCACCTTGTAGAGATTCGCAATGCAACGACATCATAATAAAACTGAACACAAGCAAGTTCGTTGTTTGGGGAACAGTGCATCATGCAGACAAAGCTACAGCGTGAGATCCTCCCTATCCGTGAAAGTCATTCGAGTTACTCAGTTCAGTTCTACTCATGCGATTGAACAGTGAGCACATTTTAGTAACTACGCTGTGTATTTCAGTCACTGCATAGACGACTTGAGACTTATTATTCTATAGCAAAGAATGGGAAGAATTTCCTCGTTTTGTGTCCTTATCGTGGATAAGCAAATGATATATTACGGAAGATTTATTAAAACCAAGTTTACATAAATAAAGGGATACAAGTGAACCTGAATTTACATTAAACCGGGAAAAATACTGTCAATCAGTTTAATCAAAGTTTTAGTGAGGGGAGGAACATTGGAAACTTTAAGCCAAGGAAAAAGTTACGTTTTTTCAACGAGAATTATAATAATAATCATTGATCTTACAAGGTGAGAAAATTTTCCCTATTAACCCCATAAGCAAAGTAAGTTTGTCATTTTCATTTCATACGTTGGGAATAAGTGAGGAGACACAAATAGATTTATTACAATCAGTCAGTCACCAATAACGCACGTACATACTTATTGTAGCAAGACGACGAAAAAGAAACAAATAATGTTGTTTTGTGCCAGACAGAATGACAAGACGATGTTAGCAAGATATCAATTATTTTGTTTTCCAACTAACTTCTTCTGCAATCTCATCTTCTTCTTCTCGTGTCGTCAATATATTTTCCTACAATGAACCCACCAACCATCGTCACATGGAACATATAAAGTTGGCTCACAACTACCTATGTATGATTACAATCATTCTTTCTGTCCAACATGTTTTATTACGTCGTTTCCCTTGATTGAGCCATGGCAAGAGGACATTATTTTCTACATTTTGTACATTTTACGTAAAGTTTGAGGTGATTGAGTGAAAATGGGAATGTCTAAAGTGAAGACAATCACATGAATAACATGATTTTTCTTTCTTCTCTCTCTAATAAATTTCCGGGTCGAATTGTCTCCGTCGTCGTCGTCGTCGTCGTGATTGGATTTGGACGGAAAACTCAATTTCAGTAGTTTCTCTAACAAAGCTGAGTGAAGAAAGAATACAACTGTTTTGCAGACAAGGAGAATTAGATTACCGAAATGTTTTGCTCTCTCTTTCTCACTTTTTGTCTCTTCTCTAATGTAATGTCGGTGGTGGTGGTGGTAATTGTATTGTCACCGGGGTGAAATTGGTTGAGGGAGGGAGTGGGAGATTTTTTTAAGGATTTTGGTGGGTGGCTAATTAATGAGATTTCGGGAAGCAAGGGAGACAAACCATGCATTTTTTTTCTGGGGGCATTTTTCTTCCAACTTTTTGTCATTTTGTCCTGCCTTGTTGACTCCGTTTTGTATGGTATGGTTGGCATGTTGGCCTCTTAAATTCTTGGCTCTTCCTGTCATTCCCCACAAACAAAACCATTCTTTACAAACTCCTTTAAATACTTTAGATTTAGTTGCTTGGTGGGTTGAGATAATTGGGATTTTACTCGAGGAATTGTGTTCTCAAAAGTTGAATGTCTCTCTCATTTTGGTTTTCTTTGTCTGAATGGATCAGATTTTGCAAATTTCAATTCAACCTTAATCTTACTGTACAATGGATTTTGATTCAAATAATGGTATGGATGGAATGCCAACGTTTTCGTTATCTCGTAAACCACATTGTGATTAGCATTATCTTATTTTGCCTTTATATCTACATTGTAT